TGTTTCACCTCGGAATTATATTACTAGTAATACTGGCATAATACTTACCGTGTATCTACTTTTGCACCCGCCCACGTAAAAATCCGTGACAAGAGATGGATATTGTTTATAACGCGTTGTATTGCGTCGATAAAGAAAATTAACCCAATTAAACGGCTGCAAATTATAAAAGTAATTCTTTTATTTCTTGTTGAGAAAATATAGTATTCTGGAGACAAATTAAATCAATCTCCATTTCTATGAAGTCATGATGAGCAGTCTATGGAATATATTAATGCACACGTTGAATAAGACGATCTCTTGAGAGAATATTGGGTCTCAAAGTCACACTCAACCTCGTGGAACACTTATATATGATTCAGCGCTAAAGTTACAGGTAAAATGATCGGCTCCAGGAAGTTCCTGACTCCTCATGCTATCTTCTAACTTTATAAGAGCCAGATCAGGCCGAAAATAGGGTACTGTTGTCATATTTGGGAGGGAACTGCCTAGTCCTCACTTTCCAATCTCGGTAGAGTCCAAAGTCGTCTCTGAGTCGTTTTTGGAGGATAAATATTTTCCACCTTACAACTTCTCTCTCACAAGCAGGATGTGGCGAGTCTTTCACTGCTCTATCTTTATTTCCATGGAATGTGCTCGGACGAACTCCATTCCTTGGTTAGGACCCGCCATGCCACTTACATAGTAGCAAACCACTCACATTCCCCCCGTATTCCATCGGCAAGAACTAAGTTCCAATCGAACGGCTTCTTCCCGCGAACCGCTGCTCTGTGGAACAGACACCCAAGAGGATGTCTGTTTCTCCGATCACAACAGTCTTAACCTTTACAAGTCTAAAGTTAAACGTTATTTTCCCCTTCTATCCATATAAACTACTACCCAATGTAACCCTCTACCTCGAGTAACCCCCGGGCCTTGTACAAGTTGAGGCTTACAGTAAAAATTGAATAAAGCTCTTAATAATTTTAAAATTTTGAGCAACAGGATGCGTACCTTTCTCGAGGGCAACAATCTAAAAGAACGCTGAGTAAAATGAAGAACAGATCGAGTTTTTAAGTCGGAATATTTTTAAAAGGTCCTCGTGACTAAACAAATATTTTTCTTCCACCTGAAGATTTTCATTTAATCAGATCATTGGAACCCATTACAGATTCAATATTATCGTAATCTTTCTACTGAAGAAGCCCAGATTCTTTCAACAAGGATTAACCCTGCTTTAGTTACTTCGGATTTTCGAAAATGGATACTCTGCAGCTCAAGACCAAAATGCTTATAGTATTACAATTATCTAAAATATTGTCGTACTGCTAAAAAAATAACATGACAAGAAATCTCCATTACTATGTACATTAAGTCAAAACTTGAACTGAAGATATAATTATTCATTGAAATGAGAATTATAATAAATTTATAGTATAAACATATGCTATAAATTCCAGGGGGAAACACACCAATACAATAATATAGAAAAGTTTCATTCATCAAAAATCGTCACAAAATATTTCCATGAATAGAAAGATATTACTTTAGCTGAATTCATAATTACAGGACTGAAAGAGTAGTAACTGATTCACGCACGCACGCACACACACACACACGTTTATATATGAATGAAAAGACAAGAGGAAAACTATACTTAGTTTAGCCGTCGCGTTTCGTCATTCGATGGACTTTATCAAAGTAAATGACTTAAATATTTGTGCCTATATAAATAACGTATAACAACAGAATATATTAAAAAAAATAATCGTCGGACTTTGTCCATTTTATAGTGTGTGACATCATTTGTTTACGTTTAGATAAGCTTCGAGTAGATATGAACGTTCGAAGGAAATCATGGAAAATTGTAGTTTAAAAGCAGTAAAATCGACCTTACTAATCAGACGCTCCTCTGTAGCTAAACCGGTATAGCACGTCAGGCTATATGACGGTTCCATGTAGGATACAGGTTCGATTCCTGCCAGGGGACACATATTTACTATGAAAATTTCTCGAACGTTCAGGCCGGTAAATGTTGTTAATACTGTTCATTATAAAAAGAGATTTTACTTAAATATTTATGTCTGTATAAATGACGTATAACAATAAAATATATTAAAATATATAAATAAAATAAAATATATTAAAAAGATAATTGTCGGACTTTGTCCATTTCATGGTGTGTGACGTCATATATATATATATATATATATATATCAGTAGAAAATGTTTTCGTGTGACGCGTTTCATCCTTTAGGATTTCATCGTACTAAATTTGTTATGTTGGTGCGACAACGCATGCGCAGGAATGAGCGATGCTGGGAATTTAAAATTTTAATGTTTTTTTATATAATTTAGGCAATTTCATTTTGATTCTTTTTTTTTCCATCACTTTTTTACCTCAGTATTTTTCTTGATTTATAAAAATTTATAAATCTTTATCTCTCTCTCTCTCTCTCTCTCTTACACCTATATATATATATATATATATTATGCAGTGTTACATTAGAACATAGACATATGTGCATGTTCTAATGTAACACTGCATAATTAATAAATATTTACAGCTCTACTTTTGTATTGAGCTCTGTTTTAAATTAATGTTTTGAACGCTGAAATCTTACACTTCATTCTTTTTTTACATATATATATATATATATATATATATATATATATATATATATATATATATATATATATATATTTTAGTTTGATTAAATAGAAACAACAAGGTTTGTCTGTTTAATTTTTTATTATACTTTTCCAACTTCCGGATAAGGTTTTGAGTATTATGTTCAAAGTTGTGGATAAAATGTCTGAAGTTCATATTTTATTATTTTTCTTCAAAAACATAGATATATGTCTTATATATATAAAAAAATATAAATCATGAACTCTTACCTTCGTTAGTCAGGTGGAGTGACAGGACTCCCCAAAGAAGATAAAGCAGCGTCTGTTGCCGACGACAACTGAGCTACAACTGCGCCAGACTGCATTTCTACACACCCTCACTGTGTCAGAAGAGTTGGTTGTTGGAGAGAGTAAAAGAAACAAGTTTCCAAATATGTGTCAAGAGTATTTGAAAAATGTTGGTATAACAAAACACCCCTTTGACTAACGTAGGGGTAAAGGGATTTGTTTCATAGTGAATTTTTGTCTTTCCTACTAATGATTTTGTCCTTGACGAAGAAATATAAATTTATTTCACTGAACGGATTTTAGGTAAAAATACAGAATAACGCCCTCGCCACACGCGCACAAAAAATGGATTCATTCTTCTAGCAGCAAACATATCTACAAATTTACTTTTTAAACCATATCAGTCAGTTATGTGCCATGTGTGATTCACGCTTAGGCGATCATGTATCTTTCGAGGGAAATTTTCTTTCCTGAAGTAGGTTGCTATTTCTTTCTGCGGTAGACCAGTTGCAATCCAAGGCTATAGAACCCGGTCTTCTATTTGTCCTGCTATTTATCCACAGGGGGAGAAGAAGAGAATTCATACCTTTCCCAAGGGTATAAGAATGTAATGGATTCGACTGGAAATCGAACTTGGCTCTCCGATTTCTCAATCCGTGTCTGCCATATACTTATCACTTATTCAAATATAAGTATTGAAGACCCACAACTCAAAAATGTTCAGAAGAATAGTCGATTTAAAATATTAAAAAGAATTTAGTAATTAAATAAATGAAAATAAATTACTAAAAAATTGTAAACGATCTTTTTCACAAATCCACAAAATATTTTATCAAAAAAGAAATTCAAAAAGTCAAAATAAAAAGATATTCTAGTTTTAATATTCTGATAATTTTACTTAGAATAAAATTACATTTGTAATCGATTTAACTTCTTTAGGGACTGATCATAGGAGACACGATGGAGTAATGGATAGCAACTCGGATTGTGAAATCTGAGAGCCGAGTTCGAATACCAATCGAATCCATTACAATCACTTACGTACTAATACCCTTGGGAAAGGTATGAACCCCATTCTTCTCCCACCCATCTATGAGCAAATAGCAAGACCGATAGCTTTGGATGGCAACTGGTCTACCGCAGAAAGAAATGGCAGCCTACTGCGGGGAAAAAAGTCTGCAAATGATAGATACATGATCGCATAACTGACTGATTGCAAATATTAAGTGTTCAAGTTATATTTTAAGCTTTCAAAAAATCGAAGTCGGTTAAAATTGGCTATAGATATCCTAAATTTGTCTCAGAAAATTCCGTTTTCGTAAGCAGATTCAAAAAGAAAACACATCTGTAATATGTGTATGCGGGGGGAGTTATTCTGCATACTTTTTTTTAATCTGAGTTTTATTCCTTTTCTAAAAGAAACAGAAACAAAAATTGGAAAAGAACGGGATATGAGGATGAGTCAAAAAGTAATGCAATTTGTTTTATTATATAAGAAAGAAGGAACGCAATCAAGCTTATCGTACATCTATATATCATAGGTTCACATCCCTACTTCTAAACATAGTCTCCACCTCTTTCAGTGGCAGCATTCCCGCCTACGAATGAGAGCATGTATCCCAGCCTTGTAAAACTCAACAAGCTTCTGATGTAGCCAATTCTTTACAGCAGTTTTCACTTCTTTATCACCACTTGACTTAGCACCTTCAGGGTTCCATCTCATCTCCAATAAAAGAGGTACTGAGGGATAATCCTTATGGTAGTGGTGATGAAAGAGCAACTTCAGTAAGGAATTGGCTATATCTGCAGCGTTTTACGAAGCTGGGATACAGGCTATCATTCTTAGGTGGAACACTGCCATTGAAACATGTAGTGACTATATTGAGAAGTAGGGATGTGAACCTGTGATGTATAGCTACGTCTTGGTGTACGATACGTTTGATTGTATTACTTATTTCTTATATAATAAAACAAATTGCATAACTTTTTGACTCACTCTCGTAATTTAAACACTCATGCGCAAATAAATATTTATACAAAAAATATATGGCCCCTCTAGTCATTAGTATTTGTTAAAGAATTGACAATAGCTATAACTAGGCTTACAGTCATATCACGTTGAAACACCGATTCTCGGACGATCAACAAAGTTAAGGAAGGTCGAGTCTAGTCAGTACCTAGATGGGTGACCGCTTGGGAATATCAGGTACTGTAAACTTGGATGTCCGTGTGGTTTAATGGATAATGCTTCGGAATTGGGAATCAGAGAGTCGAGTTCCAATTCCAGTCGGGTTCATTACATTCATTTAAGCGCACATATCATTGGCAAAGGTAGGAATCCACGTCTTCTTACTTTCAGTTATAGATTAATTAATAGAATTCATAACAGTAAATCATTATTATCTAACAATCTAAAAATATTTTCTGGCTTTAAATAACCCGCAAAGGTGGATAAGCCGTTAAAAAACTTAACAATTAATCAATAGTTATATATGTAGTTTGTTGTTATGTAATATCACCTAATATCATCATATAATATCACACTTCAAAAAGTTTGGTTGGTTCTGCACAAAGCCTTCACCACTATAATCAAATCATATGTGCAGGTGTCTGGGCTGGCGGTTCCTAGGAACTGATCTGCTTGATCCTCATACGTCAAATATGACGGGAGAGTCCACAAATATCACAAGCAGCTACGTTTTGTGTGTTTATGTTATCTTTGTATTTTTTGTTATATAAGAATAAAATGTCGCTGCTGACACTTGAGTTTGAACGTGGATTGCCAGTGAGCAAACACAGGCGATCCCATTACTGAATTAAGTGGATCACGTGACCATAGAAGAAACGCATAAGTAGAAAATATCGTGATGATTAACGAGCGCCATTTCTAGTCTATCCTCTATTACTGTAGATCGCTATTTTTATTCTATCCTCTATTACTATTCGGATCACTTTTTCTAGTCTATCTTCTGTTACTATACGGTTCACTATTATCTATACGATTCCCTATTTCTACGCTACTCTGTATACTGATCCCTATACGGATTACTATTCGAGCGAGTATTATCGAGCAAGTGTGAGTGTTATTCGAAGGCGTCTGACACCAGTATTGTTCAACGGCGTTACTATTGTATCTGCGATTACAAAGTCTTTACTACGACGAGCATTACGAAAGTGACAACGAGTATTCGTTGACATCACAATTTTTTTCATTATTATCTCACACCTAAGCAAGGCGATAACACCACTAAGATGCAAAGGGTTACTGGGAGTGGAAGAGACTGAAAAAAAACTTAGTGAGGAGAAATGACAATAAACGAACAGGGTTCAGGAAGACAGAAGATGGCGATTGAGGTGGCATCTAAATTTCTGAAGATTGTAGTTGTCAGGGAAGCAAATAACGGGAACTTGTGAGAAGCGGAAGAGAAGAAACTATTAGAATAGAACTTACGGTTACATTTAGTAAATTCAACAGTAAAATGGTGAATACTAGAAGGCAATAAAGTAGTGCACCAAAAATTCACGCGTTTGAGGTAACAAGGGGAAAGAGATCGTTACAGTATCTGGCCTAAAAAATATTTCTAGAAATGACTGAGAGAAGCCACGTCACGGCGGTGGGAAAGTGACTGATATCGAGACACTAAGATTTATTTTATCCCATGTTAAATTGTAGAAGATATTGTCAAATAAAAACTCACAACTTATGAGTAGCATTTTTAGCTATTATACTTTAGTACATTGAATATTTGACATTATCATTCGCTCTGAGCTCAACATGTTACAGGTATCAATAACTGATCTCCGTTGTTCTTGATTAGAACGTGTGTTATACACGTAGCCAGAAGACTGGCCTCATCCTAATCTCGTACTAATCTCGCACTAATCTCGCACTGTCTCTCACATGATCACTTTTCTTGACTAATGAGCTCGATACCGATTCTTGTAACGAATTTGATGTACTAATTTGTATCGCGTTCCAAATACTTTCGAAGTTGCACTTTTTAAAGAAGAAACAAAACAAAAAAACTCTTCCCGCTTAGTAAGGTGGTAGGAGTATGACGTTAACATTAGTAGTTGTCAGAGAGTAGTATCATAATATACTGCAACCTATGTTTGTACAATTCTATGGTCGGGGGGGATAATATTTGCTCAATGGATAAAATATAAACGAAGGTAACTCACACACATACACACATACATACACGCACGCGATAATACACACACATACACACACGCGCGCATACACACGCGTATATATATATATATATATATATATATATAAGAAAAAATATATGGAAAAACAAAAATCCGAATAGGCAAATATGCTGTTTTAATGTTATGTCAATGTCGACGTCAGACATTTCGGTCTAGTAGACCTTCTTCAGGACATAGTTATTAAAACATAATTAACATTAGACGATATTCAAGTCAACATGAAAAGACGATAGACCTAAGAGTAAGAGCAATCAAAACAGAATAAATGAAATTTTTAAGATCAGCGTTCCGTTTCACAATATGATCACGTTGGCGTCACATGGGCGATGTTGTGAAAACGTATTCCTAAAATAGAGTATATCTTAAATGAAAAATGAAAAAGAATTTTATTTTAATCTAAAATTTATAAGTACGTTTCTTGCTTTTCCATATATTTTTCTTCATACTGTTGGATCTATATCCATATATTTGCTTATATATATATATATATATATATATATATATATATATATATATATATATATATATATGAATTCGGAGATTATTAAAATTGAAAATGTTATTTAGAAAGCAATGCCGGTCAACATCTTTCTGCATATGCGTAGAGAATTTTTTCTGATCTGCCAGCAAAAAGAGAATAATGTCCTTAAATTCGTTATTATCTACTCCACATTCTTGCAACAAGGGCATCAGGTTAAAAGTAAAGGGGCTATCAACTAAAAAAAAAAAAAAAAAAAAAGAATAACTTAACGAAGCATCATAATAAAGGATCAACATGCAGGACCATTTCCAAGATGTTACGAATATATATTTTAGTGCCACTGGATCAATTATTCTGAAATGAAAACATTTTGTCTCCATCAATAACTGTCCTCGAACTGGCGTTCTACGGAAAATTTCTTCACGATCAACTTCAAAAATACTACGAAAAGTAATGTATAGTTTCTTAACAAAACATGTAATGAAGGTCATTTTGAACGCCCACTCTTCTAGATCCTTTTTCATTAAAGCCAGAATCCTGCAGGGTTTATCTTTGGATCTACTTTGTTACTTAGCTTCATCATCGACCTTCTTGATGTTGTCAGTTCAAGACTCGGTATTTATGCTGATAATACAACTATTTATTCCATCTTAATTGTAATAGTTTTTAATATTTAATATTCTGTCTTCTTGAATCTTATTCTTGTATCGTTCTTTCACCTCGCTAACGTCTTCTCATTTTCTTTCACTCTCAGCATCCCTTTGCATCTCAGTAGTATTATTGCCGAGCTTGGGCTGTAATTATTAAAATAATATCTATAACATTACAGATGATTTTTAAACATATAATAGCCTTAATCAGTCCTTAACATTTGTTTTAATTTGTAAATATTAACAGTCTCTTCAACACCTGTCTATATTTCTGAGATGAGCTATTGTAATTATTTACATTGTTCGAACTGTTGTCCTCATCTTCATTGTCACATTCACGACGTTTCGACCGTTGTACACTCCGGCCTTCTTAGGGATCTTCTATATTTCTGATATGAGGTATTATAATTATTTACACTATTTACATTGTTCGAACCGTTGTCCTAATCTTTATTGCCATATTTACGCCGATTCCAATCACCTAAAGAAGGCCGGGGCCGAAACGTCGTGAATATGACAAGAAAGACGAGGAAAACAGTCCGAACAATGTATCTGGTGCTCAATAAAGTTTTTGCCGATTTTTCTTAAGTTATTTCTGGCCCAGCTGTTTAGTTAATAACAAGCATAAGTATACAGGAAGCAACTTGTATTGACAAGTATATTGTTGAATGATCCAGTTATTATTTTATTACGTAACTAATACCATTTTATTTCTAATTTCAAAGCCCTCAAAATAACTGATAAAAATTGCTAGTTTGTTCTTGTCTGTTGTATGAGTTTAAACTTGGTACAAGTGCATCGTGTGCTTCTCGTAAACTATGTACAGCCTTTGGCGAAGGTGCAGTAAGTGAACGAACTGCACGTAATTGGTTTCAGAAGTTTCGATGTGGCAATGAAACCCTCGAAGATGTATCTCGAGCTGGACGACCAATATCCCTAAACAATGAGAATTTAAAGGCAGCCATAGAATCAGATTCAGGTTTAATATGTCATAAACTAGCTTTGAGGTTTAATGTAAGCGATGAAACTATAAGACTGCATTTGCACCAGCTGGGGAAGAAATGGAAATTAAGCAAATGGGTCCCATATGGCTTAACACCAGCAAACAAATTGCAGAAGCTTACCATATGTTCTTCTCATCGCAGTAGACTAACAAAAGAACCCATTTTTGATCGAATTATGACATGTGATGAAAAGTGGATCATGTATACAAACTCTAAGAGGAAACAGCATTGGTTATCGTCGGGTGATCCTTTGCCACAAACTTCAAAGGCACCACTATTCAAAAAAAAAAAAAAAATCTTTTTGCTGTGTGTTTGGTGGACATGTCAAGGAATAATTCACTATGAGTTTTTACAAACGGGTGAAACCATTACTGCTAACAAATATTGCGAGCGATTTGAACAAGTTCAGGAAAATTTGTTGAAGAAACAGCCTTCATTAGTAAACAGAAAACAAGTTTTGTTTCCCCAGGACAATGCTCACCCACACGTTGCAAAAATGACCAAGATAGCAGAGCTAAAGTGGGAGATTATGCTTCATCTACCGCATTCTCCAGACCTCTCTCCAAAAGATTTTCACTTGTTTTAGGCTTAGATAATCATATGAAGAACAGGACATTTAATAATGAAGATGACTTGAAAACGGTAGTGCATAACTTTTTCCAAAGTAAAAATAAGACTTTTACAAAAATGGCATTATTTAGTTGTTGAACCCTTGGGAGAAGGTCATAGAATGTGATGGTTCATATTTTGATGAATAAATGCATTTAAGATTTTAAATATGCCTCTTTAATTTCCTTTATAAAAATCGGCAAAAACGTTTTTGGGTACCTGATAAATAATCTCCAAGTTTTGTTCTCAACTCTCTAAGTTTTTCTCCACTGCAGTAGCCAGGTATCGAACACGCAACCCTTTGGGTCAAGTTACTTGTTGGATTACTTCTACCAACGTTTTTGTCCACTGCATCGGTTAAAGATAGTAAATAACTCAGGCACCTCGGCGGGCAGTTATAGTAAGATGGTCACACAAAAGGTTATTACTGTAGAGAGAACTATTCTTATTAAGTGCCTTATACTTGTAATCTTATAACAAAGGAACTCTATTAAATGTCACTAATACAAGGAAGTAAAGGTAGATTAAGAGGCTGGAGTACCACACCGTAGATCAGCTTGTTTTACGTAATATTACTATGGCACGTACACTATTTATTTATAGTCTTTTTTGTTGTTTTTGTTATTACAGTTCTTTGACCGGTTGTACACTCTGGCTTTCCTCAGATGCTTGGTGAGACCGAGGCTGAGATTGCTGCTGCTGCTGCTGCTACTGCAGTAAGAAAAAAATCTTTGTAGTTATAGTCAAACGCGAAAAGCTCCAGCAGTCTCAGCAGCAGGCAGATAAGGTTTAAGGATACAACATAAAACATATGGAATAAAAATCTATCTATCTATCTATCTATCTATCTATCTATCTATCTATCTATCTATCTATCTATCTATCTCATCTCACATTTTTTCACATCTCTCTCTCATTTTATCTCTCTCTCTCACTCTCTCTCTCTCTCTCTCTATATATATATATATATATATATATATATATATCACATTCTTTTCACATCTCCCTCTCATTCTATCTATCTATTTATCTATTTCAGTTTGTTAATATCTTTCAAACTTTCTCTCTTCCTTTTCATATCTATCTATATATCTCTCTGATAATATCAATTAATCTTTCTGTATCTTCTTTTTCATATCTATCTATCTATCTATCTATCTATCTATCTATCTATCTATCTATCTATCTATCTTGTTCTGTTCCTATCAAAACAAAAAGAAATTGAAACGAAACTCTTCGAAAAAAAAACCCCATTAAAATCACAGAAAAATTATTTACTATAAGTCGATATTTTCGTGCGCATGCCTTGGTTAAACGTATATCCGGATATTTGTATTGTTGGAATTGGAAGACAACTTGATATTCGGAAGGAATGTGTCTTATCTAAACACCAAAGGAAATCTTGGCGAAGGAAATTGTTTCTTTGAATTTATTCCTGTATATATTGTATGTATGGCCTTTGGAAAATGAACTAAGATATAATGCAAATAAATATCGACAGCCTCCAGACACTCATGAAAGAAATTTGACAATCAAAACGCTAATAAGTTTGTACGTATACAAACATATAGATAGAAGCAGAGTGAGATAGATAGATAGCAACGAATACACAGAGATAGATAACGAAAGTGAGATAAATAGATTGATAAATATCAAAAGAAAGGCATATGCATAAACAGATCCCAAAAATGACATAGATTCAATAGTTGCTTTGTTTACCAGTTTTTCTGACCCCAACCTGCCAGTTCTCTATCCTTGGGCCTAAGGTTTTTTTCTTATCTTCATCAACGACTTTTCCCATGTCGTTGACAAACAGATGAAAACAGATTGATATATATATATATATATAGATAACTAGACTCGTTTCGAAAAACCCTCGAATTTTTGATTTGCTAATCAAATCAATCTCGAGGGAAAAAAAGGTTTTAAAAAAAGAAAGAGCTACAAACATGGACTTCTGCCGACAAAAAAATCGCACAGATGCAGGTCTGAAGCCCAAAGAAAAAACCCCGATACGAGTAAACAACTAACAAAAGAGCTCAATACAACCGTAGAGCAGACCTAGATAAACCTAGTGAGCCAGACAAACCTACCTAGGTTTCACCTAAACGGATCGTCAGGTAAAGTTTGGCAAACTTTACCTGACGATCCGTTTAGGTGAAACCGTTTAGGTGAAACCTATATATATATATATATATATATATATATATGGATAGATAGATAAATAGATAAATACGAACACACTATAGATAACTAAAGTGAGATAGAGTGATAAATATGAAAAAGTGACAGATATATAAACATAGAAATAGATCTAAAAATTAACACACACTCATGTACACACACTAACACACACACTCATGTATACACACTAACACACACACACACATATATATATATAGAGAGAGAGAGAGAGAGAGAGAAAAGAAGAGAGAGATCGATAGATACAAAACACTAACACTTAGGGTGATAAACAAAGTGAGATAAATTCATTGATAAATACGCACTCACTCACACACACACACGTACACACACACATACTCTCATACCAAGACGTACATTCTCCCCGTCAGCTATGGCGTAATTAGTAAGACCTTATCAAATAATCAGTATTAAAAAAAAAATTCTTACGATCCAAAAATATTTTCTGGCTTTAAATAACCTGTAAAAGGTTGATAAACCCTAGAAAACGAATTAATCAATCAACTGCACTACGTTATCCTATGCACCTCAGCTCGAAATTAAGATTTAACCATGCCTAAGTCATCTTGAGCTATTCTAATTTATTTTTGTTCAATAAAAATTAATAAATAAATGTCGTTACTCTTTTGCTGCACCCTATATATATATATATATATATATATATTGGTGTGCAACTTATATTTTATATCATAAAGAAACGATTTATATAAAGAATTAAATAGCTATGTTAAAGCGATCAATGGCGAAATCACTATCAATTCCTTGAATAATTGATTCAATAAGTTTTTCAATTTCAGTCTAAACATTTCGTCTTAGTGTTTGCCTATGGATGGTAAAATTGCACCCTGAAGATGACAATTTGAAATTGTCGAAAGTACTTGGTATGTTTTTTCCATCTGACAACAGCTCGAATATAAGGATCTTATTATTCAAGGAATTGGTAGTAACTTAATGTCTCATTAAGTCCTGATAGCGAAGTCATTTCGCCATTAATCACATTAACATTTCTATTTAATTCTTTATATAAATTGTTTCTTTAAGATTATATATATATATATATATATATATATATATATATATATATATATATATATATAATTTTACATGCAGATATATCGCCAGACTGTGTTGCTATTTACTGAAAAGAATACCGGTTGCTTCAGTTGAGCTAATGTTTTATCGATTTACTTCTATAACGTTAGCATATGCCAAGAAAAGCGTTAGGGCGCTAGGTCAGTCGCACTATCGTGGGCGGGGCTCAAACGGACGTCGGGTGGCAGAAATATGTTTCAATCTTTTCATACCGAATATACGCATAAGGCTTTTGAGGTTGTAAACATCTCAGGGTTGGAGGGGGGGGCGTCTAAACGAGAATAAATCAGAACTTGAAAAATGAATACATTGGCATGCGTGATAGCCTGAAGAAAACATGTCGGAGTTATTAGTGCGATTCTAAAATTGAACCACCCCAGGGAAGACGTGTACCGCAAAAAAAAAAAAAAAATAAATAAATAAATAATAAAAAAAATAAAATAAAAATAAATAAATAAATGAAAAAAAAAATACAACAAAAAACTCCGCCCACGCAAAATTACGCAGGAAGTGAGAAAACTCGCTTTCAGACTGCGTTCTTAATTCAAAAGTATAAACAACTATTTCCATCGAACATTATCATCGGAAATTGGTAACTGATGATCATTCATCATCATCATTAACATTCTTGGTAACTGATGATCATTCATCATCATCATTACCATCCTTGGTAACTGATGATCATTCATCATCATCATTACCATCCTTTGTAACTGATGATCATTCATCATCATCATTACCATCCTTGGTAACTGAGGATCATTCATCATCATCATTAACATCCTTGGTAACTGATGATCAGCCATCATCATCATTAACATCCTTGGTAACTGATGATCGTTCATCATCATCATTACCATCCTTGGTAACTGATGATCATTCATCATCATCATTACCATCCTTGGTAACTGATGATCAGTCATCATCATCACTAACATCCTTTGTAACTGATGATCATTCATCATCATCATTACCATCCTTGGTAACTGATGATCATTCATCATTATCATTACCATCCTTTGTAACTGATGATCATTCATCATCATCATTAACATCCTTGGTAACTGATGATCAGCCATCATCCTCATTAACATCCTTGGTAACTGATGATCATTCATCATCATCATTAACATCCTTTGTAACTGGTGATCATTCATCATCATCATTAACATCCTTGGTAACTGATGATCATTCATCATCATCATTACCATCCTTTGTAACTGGTGATCATTCATCATCATCATTAACATCCTTGGTAACTGATGATCAGTCATCATCATCATTAACATCCTTGGTAACTGATGATCAGCCATCACCATCATTAACATCCTTTGTAACTGATGATCATTCATCATCATCATTAACATCCTTGGTAACTGATGATCATTCATCATCATCATTACCATCCTTGGTAACTGATGATCAGTCATCATCATCATTAACATCCTTTGTAACTGATGATCATTCATCATCATCATTAACATTTCGGTAACTGATGATCAGTCATTACCATCATTACCATCCTTGGTATGAACTGCATTATGAATAATCACTTTGTATAGTTTGTTACAAAATTAGTATCTTTCTCCTATGCCTAACCATTATTATAAAGCCTCACGTGACTGTCTTTTTCTATAGCCATTTTCTAATAATATACGGTATTCGCATCAGTGATTTTTTTCTTAAAATGGTTGCCATCTCCAATAGATTCATGTCTCGCACTTCCCGTGTGTGGAACTCTCTTTCTCTTACTTGCTTCCCTGATAGTTATAATCTCCAACTATTCCTCTCTCACGCCTTTTTACTCTTGCTCCCACTTTCTGTAACACCTTGCGTGCTATTTGCACTCCCGCCTTGCTTGGGATGAAATGCTTAAAAAAAAAAAAAAACTACAGCTAGATAGAACTGTCAATCTTGCTATATAACCCATAGCCGGGGATTAGAAAAGGTAAAACCGAATCAATTAAGTAAATTCTCGTTCTCTTTCAAGTATGAATATTTTTATATCAAATTTCTTTTTTTTTCAAAAAGGACAATAAATAAAATACATAAATAGATTACTTTTTTAATCATTTCACTACAAGAAAGATGATAAAGCCACTAAGACGCAAGAGATTACCGTGAGTGAAAGAGAATTGATTGATTTGTTTTGTAAGGCTTGTCAACACTTTGCACGTTATTTAAAGCCAGAAAATATTTTTAGATTGTAAAAATGTAATGGTTTATTGACACAAATTTTACTAATTAACCCGTAGCTAGGGAAAAGAAGAGGTGGATGCATGCCTTCCCCAATGTCCTCTGCACGTAAGTGAATATAACGAACCCAACGAGAATTGAAACTCGGCTTTTCGATTAACAGTTATCCCTTACACCACCCTCTACATCCAGGTTTACAGCGTCTGGTATTCCCAAGCAATCATCCATCACGATTCTGACCAGGTTTGACGTTGCTTAACTTCCGTGATCATACGGGAACCGGTGTTTCAACGTGATGTAAGCCTATGAAAGAGAATGAGAAGACTTTAGTGAGAAACAAAAGGACAATAAAAGAATAGATATCAGGAAGACAGAAGATGACGATTCACGTTGCATTTAAATTTTTGACGATTGTAAGTGACATGGAGATAAGACACAGGAAACTATTCCCACGGGCGAGAAGTGCGAGAAAAGAAACTGTTAGAATAGAAATTACGTCTGCATCTAGATATTTCAGCAGAAAAATGGTGAGACCTAGCTGCCAATCTAGCAGTACCCTTAAATTCAGGCAGTTGAGACACCAAGAAGGAAAGCTTATCAGAACAATTGCCATAAAAATAACAGTCGGAAGGCACATCACGGCGATAAGAAAGTGAGTGAAGTCGAAAGGCCAGATCTGGATTTCCGAAAAGAATATCAATAATAATT